TAGAGTCCAAGTCTCTGAGGCGTACGTCAAGGCAGGAAGGACCGCGGAATCGAAGAGGTGGGCACGGAGCTTGGTGTTCTTCGTCTTCTTCGCTACTCCCTCGATGTTCTTGAAGGCTCCCCAAGCCGCTCGCTTCCTCCTGCTCAGCTCTGGTGCTAAGTCGTTCATCATATTGATTTCACGACCCAGGTACACATAGAAGCATTCAGAGATGGTCGTTCCGTTGAGCGTGAATGGGGCATCAGAAACCAATCCGTTTCTCATGAACATCGTCTTCGTTAGATTCAGCCGTAGACCGATTTTTCCACACGCGCAGTCGAATTCAGCCAGCATTCGTTCCGCTTGCTCGATGTTTGGTGTTATCAAAACGATGTCGTCAGCAAAGCGGAGATGGTGTAGTTGCCGACCGTCGATCTTCACTCCCATGTCTTCCCATTCCAGTTGACGCATGACGTTCTCGAGAGAGGCGCTGAAGAGCTTGGGCGAGATGGTGTCGCCCTGTCGGACCCCTCTCTTCACATCGATGATGATCTCCTTGTAGAATGGTGAGATCTTGGTCGTGAAGTTGCTGTAGAGCTCACGAAGAATCCTGATGTACTGAGTAGGAATACCCTGGTTGCCCAGGGCTTCGATAACCGCTTCTGTCTTAAAGACACATGGTACGCTCAAACACATTGAGGGTGTATGAGACTAACAGCCCCCCAGCTGTCGATGTGTCGTGGTTTCCCCGCCTGAAACTGCACGGGGGTCCGAGTACGGGACCGTGGGAAAGGCTTATTCCTTGCTACACCGCCCAAAATGCAACTTGCGCGCGGCGAAATGCAACTTTGCGCGCGGTGAATTTTGGGCGGTGTAGCAAGGAATAAGCCTTTCCCACGGTCCCGTACTAGGACCCCCGTGCAGTTTCGGGCGGGGAAACCACGACACATCGACAGCTGGGGGGCTGTTAGTCTCATACACCCTCAATGTGTTTGAGCGTACCATGTGTCTTTAAGGAGTCGAAGGCTTTCTTCAAGTCGATGAACGTGAGACATAACGGCATCTTGTACTCTCGCGATACTTCAATGAGCTTCGTTACCGTGTGGATGTGATCGATCGTGCTGAATCCTCTTCGAAACCCTGCTTGCTCGCATGGCTGTCCTTCGTCTAGTGTTCTGCCAATCCTGTTCAGGATGACTCGTGTGGGGAATTTGTAGACACAGACACCAGGGAAGTTCGGCGATAATTGGCAATGTGTGCAGGTCTTCCCCCTTGTGCAGCAATACAGTCCTACTGGTTCTCCACGTGGCCACCTTGCATTCCTGACAGGTAGCGCGTGAAGAGTCGAGCCAGAGTTTTGACGAGAACTGGCGGAAGATTCTTCAGATGTTCGGGTCTGATCCTGTCGGGACCGGGTGCCGTACGATTCTTCACCGACGAGATGGCGTGTCGGACTTCGGAAGGGAGAACTGCAGGAACGACATATCCATCCTGCTCCAAGCGGTATGGTTGCAGGTGGACGTGGCTGTCAAAGAGATCCGAGTAGAAGTCGTGGATGACCTTCTCCATTGCCCTTCTGGATGCGGTGATTGTTCCATCCGGACGTCGGAGGGCGGTCATCTTGTCTTACAGTTGGCGAAGTCACGGCGAGCGGCATGGATGCCCTTTCGAGCTTCTGCCGCTTCCACCAGTACTGCTGCTCTTCTCTCCTTGAGGTCTTCCTTTATCGCTTCTCTGCATAGCTTCGCAAGCTCAGACGTCAGCTGGTAATTGCCTGCGGCTCGTGCGGCTCCACGTTGGGCGAAGGGTGATCCTGAAACTCTCTGACTTCTTGGCGTGTGCGTGTTGACAAGCCGTTCGTATTCCTCGTCGATGTTGTCGATGACGGAATCCTCCCAGAGCCCAGCGAGAGAAGTGAAGTGATCCCAGTTGATGACGGTCTTGGGGCTTCGCTTCTTGAACTTTGCGGCTCTCTCTCCTTCGCATCGAGAAGCCAAATCTTGCGCATGGAGACGGTGGGGTGTGTGGCGATTCTATCGTCGATGATAAGTAGGTCGCCGCGCTGGTGGGCGCCGCGTACGAGTCCTGCTGCGTCGTGCTCGTTCAAATTGTTAAAATGATCATCAAGTCATATTGTTTATTCTTTATTCTTTATTCAGTACGTTGTGTAAGGCAACGTTAAAAATAAAACATGAAATAAAATAAAACCCGGAAACAGAATACAAACTCCAAGGAAACATGAATAAAAACAACAAACGACAACTATGAGGCAAGCAATTGTTTAGCTAGTGACCTTCTTAATGATGCCAAAGAGCCTTGGATGGAAGCGGTTTTGTTGAGGCGCAAATAAGCAAGTCCCGCTCTGACAGTGAAAAAGTTTCGTCTGAGAGTGGTTTTAGGTCTAGGAAACGATAGCTTTAGGTGAGCCCCCTGGTAACAGACGGAAGCAGGTTGTAGAAAGAAGAGCAGTTGACAGCAGACTCCTTTCCTAAGAAGCCTATGGAGCACACATAGATCAAAGAAGTTGCGTCGAGACTGGAGGGTTGGAAGTTTGAAGTATTCGTTCCTTACCGAAGCTTTCGGAATTTTAGCATACAGGAAACCTCCGCGACGGATAAGTATTTTCCTTGTGAAATTGTTTTGAACCTTTTCAACGAGAGCGATATCCTTTTTCTTATTAGGGTAGAATATGACAGTCCCATTTTCCACTAACGGTCGAACATAAGTTTTGTATGCGTGGAGAAGTACCTTGCTGTCATTGGTCGCTAGGGCCTTGAATATATTATAGGTACGATGGAATGCCTTTTTATAAATATGTCTGTGATGTGAAGAAAAGTCAAGTTTGTCATTATAAAGAAAACCTAAGTCCTTTACTTCCTTAACCTTTGTTATCTCCACATCATCGATGAAGTAAGAGGTAGAATGTACCGAAGAAGGGCCTAAGTGCATGTGGAAAGATTTCGCCGCGGAAAGCGGGATTTGCCAGTCAGTGGACCATTTAACAAGCATATCTATAGTAGCTTGGAGGGCGTGTGCATCCTGTAAGGAGTTTATGATTTTGTAAAACTTAAGATCGTCTGCGTACTGCTTGGACACAACTTCATTCTGTATGCCTATATAACCAAGATCAGCCGAGTAAATATTAAAAAGTATGGGAGACAGGACCCCTCCTTGAGGGATGCCGCTAAGGAGCTGGAAGACATTAGAATAAGAATTGTTAATGCGAACCTGGAAAGTCCTTCCCGTAAGAAATTCCCTAATCCATTTGTATACTTTCTCATGAAATCCTAGTTTATCCATTTTGTATAGCAGCTTCCTATGGCTAACTTTGTCGAACGCTTTAGTGAAATCGAAATAAATTACATCGACGCATTTCTTATCATCCAAAGCCTTAGTCCAATCATTGAGGGATTCTAGCAAATTGCTCGTGACCCTTAGTCCATTCATTGAGGGATTCTAGCAAATTGCTCGTGACGGATCTCCCTACTACGAACCCATGTTGAGAAGGTGGAATTATTTTGTTCTCATCCAAATGACGAATAATATGAGATTTAGGATTCAAGATTTATTTATGTTAATCTTGTACTGCTTTTCCCATTTTCCTATGATGATCAATGATTGTTTTTCCGCATTCAAAAGTAAAGGGGTGTAAGACTGGTCCCACGTTATTTGTTCAAAATTACTGATCCAATTTTGGGCTTTTCGGAACTTGTGAATACGCGGTCTTCGAGACTCATTTGTATGTCGGTAATGCAACTCCGGAATTGTCGCACCGCGCCGCCGCGCGAGACGCCGCGACGCGATGTGCGCGACGTGACCTGACTTGCCGACGATAGAATCGCCCGGGTCCCGAGACGGTGGTCGAATCCCGTGTAGAACTCAGGAACAGCGACATCGGTCAGGCAAAACCTTCGATTGAAGATGATGTGGTCGATCTCATTATGGAATTGTCCACCAGGAGACTCCCATGTCCAGCGTAGAGAGTAGGGCTTCTGGAACTGCGAGTTACCATGGATGGTATGGGTCGACATGATAAACTCAGACAGCCTTTCACCCTGCGTTCCGTGAGTTCCGATGTGAAGTTCTTCAGCCGTTCTTCTTGGTCCGATCTTAGCGTTGAAATCACCGACGATGACCTTGAAGAAGGTATGATCTTCCTTGTAGAACTCCCATTCCATATAGAACGCTTCAAGCTCATCCTCGTAGCTTGATGTTGGTGCGTAGGCGACGAAGATTGTCAAAGCTGGAGTTGAACCACATCTTCTCAATCGCAAACGTCCGATTCGGGTCGTCAGATTTTCGTACGAATCGATGTTCATGGCCAAGTGCGTGTTGACGAGGACGCCCACACCGCCAACGCCTCTGCTGTCGCATGTTCCGAGGAACAGTTCTTCTCCAGTCTCGTATACGGCGTGTAGCGGGCGATGCCTCCTCGTCTCGGTCAGTCCGATGACGTCGTACTTGATCTTCCTGGCTTGCAACATCAGATCTTCGATGTGAGCTTCCGATGCAAGCGTCCGTGCGTTGAAAGTACAGATCGTCATCCTAGTCCTGGGCGACTTGAATCTCCGTTGGCCCTGTGATTCTTGCAGCCTCGCCCGAGCGGTCCCAGCCGACGTCGCCCTGTCGGTGGTTCCCTCAGGTTCAGGGGAATGAGGCCCATATTTATTACTGTTTTCGGCATATGAATGAATTAACCGCGCGTAGCTCGCCGGCCCTAAAGTGGCAGCACCACTTTGGTACCGTACTAGATTCACGAACTTATGTCAACTAATTAATACTGTTAGCTAATCATTTTGATTTTTTTTCTGTAGTTCTACTGACATCTTTGCGCTTTTTGTGTTGAGTGACCCTCTCAATACGACCCCCCCCCCCTTCCCTCCTGAACGGTCAAATACGAGACCCCTTCCTATAGGGTATCCCCAACAGAAATGTGCCCTGTTCAATGCTGTGCTCAAAAACAAACATCGTCTTTCTTAATATTGCTTAGTTATACCACAAATGACCATTACTCTTTCCAGATGAATTTTCTCATCAGCTCGCCGGTACCACACTTCTCGCAATCGTCGCCGACCAATCACGTGTCAACAAAGTCGACAAAAGAGCGTCAACGTTTGAAAGACATCGAGAGGCCGTCATTGTCCTACAAAGATCTCATCATTGAAGCCATCGAAAGCAGTCCTGATAAACGGCTCAAGCTGAATGAAATATATCAGGTAGAGAGGCTGCTTTCTGAGTTCTTCCAACAAGTTTTACCCTGCTAGTTTTCCACGTTTTTCCTACCAGGTCTTATTTTTGCATCCGGAGCATCTATTGCGCGTGAAGCTTGAACAGCGCTTGCTCTCCTTCTTCCGAGAAGGCTTCATTGTGAACAGCACAGTTCTTTCTACTAAAATAAATTACAACGAAACTTCCATGTCTCTTATAAATGCCGAATGAACACTGGTGGAGAGCGAGTGACCCCCGCGCCGGTTCGCCTAAAACGTAGTACGCGGGCTCAAGTGATTTGTAAAATCTGTGCAAGTAGTCCATCCCGCAAGCTGAGAAACCGCATCACCTTCGCGACTACACAGTGAGTGAGGAGAATGCTACAGCCATCGAAAGTTCTAGTTCTGAAACCTACTCAAACGGATCACCTACCCAACGAACGTCCTCTTCCCACCTACCGCCCAGTTGTTGTTTGTTGTGGCGGCGAGAATAAGTGCGAATTGCATGTCCATTTTTGGCGAGCGCTCTAATGTAAGTGATTCTGCTTTCCTTTACTACAGTCAGTTGCAGTCCATCTCGCAAGGTACCCTCGTCATCCGGGCAGTTGATTAGGGCGGTCGTCAACGGGCCGCAGCGCGTGCCAGGAACTATTTGCTTTTTCCAG